TTTCTTCAACCAAAAAATAATAGGATGTACAAACGGCACTATGAAGATCATGTGGATAGGGAAGGAACACCACCTCAAGATTGTCTTAACTGAGCACTATCCTCTGATGCACTAAACCAGTTAAATATTTCTGAACCTGAATTTGACGCAGATTATTCAACTGGAGAAGAAGACCCAAGAGAAAAAAAAAAAAAAAAACCCCAAGCGTAAGCAGAGTGAGGAAAGAATTAGTGTGAAAAAAACCAGTAAAAGAAAAAGGGATGATGTTGATGATGATAATAGAGTCGTATTATATAAAAGAAAAAAAAAAACAGAATAGAAAGAAGAGAAAGAAATTCTTCCCTACCAAGTCTTCAAGAAGCCATGACAACAACTACAAGCATACCAGCAACAAGCACATGAACAACAGTGGCAACAACCATAAGAACAACTGCAGCAACAACTGCAAGTACACCAGCAGCAACAACCGCAAGCATACTAGCAGTAACAACCGCAAGCATACCAGCAGTAACAACCGCAAGCATACCAGCAATACAGCTGCTAGGCTAAAGATCGAAGAGTTCATATTCTCAGTAAGTTAAAAATCCAATGTGAAGCCAATTGCTACTAGGTGGGTCATTCTCTAAGTTTAACTCGAGTTGATCTTTACTTATATAGAATATAGTATAGAAAATTGTATCTCTCTATTGATATATTTTTGTTATTTCCAAATAAAGAGTAATAGACAGAACCACCAAATTAAAAAAAAAAACAATATCTTACAAATTTTCAATCAGAATCATATAATTTTGGTACTATTTGATTTGTCTTATCAAGATAAATCGATTAGTACTAAAATTATGTGATTTTAATTAACAGATTACAAGATTCATGAGTACGCTAAATTAGATACTATACCAAATTAGATATATCTAGCTTAGTATTTATTTTTATATTATAAAAAAATTTTAGATTACTTATTATCCAAAAATATAAAATTTTAAAAATAATTTTTTTTAAAAAAATAATTTAATTTATCTATGACAAACTTTTTAAATACTAAATTTAAACCTATAGTTTCTAATATAATTTTTAATTTAAATAATAAATTATAATTTTAATTATTATATATCTTATAATTTACTTGTAAAAATTAATACTTGTCTTAAAAGTGAAAATTTTTTCTAGTTTTAGAAATATATAAAATTTCAGAGAACTTAAAAAATTTTACTAGTGAACTCTAATATTATATAAACTTTAGACTTAAATTAATTGAAAGTTTTTTAATAAATTTAAAAATTTTTTTTAACAAAATTAATAAAGTAAATCTTTAAAAATATATTTTGCTTAGAAAGTATATTGCTAAATTAATATTTAAGATTAAAGTTTATAATTTATTGCATGATACAATATTTGCACCTCCTATTATAACTATATAAAGATCATTAATTTTGTATAATGAATAAATTTTTATTAAAACAAAAAATAAATTTTAATTAATTAGTAATTCACTAGTAACCTGATATATAATCATAGTATAATATAATACAGATCACTATATAAATTATATAT